GCCATACTGAAGTGTTGCTATTGATAGAATGTCTCCTATCACTCAAGAAGGTTGAAGCAGAAAAAATAACCACTACACTATCACAGCCATTGAATAACAACAGTCTTTACAATTAAGTCTTTTTAGAAAATACTAATGACTTATTTTTTTAAGGCGGTTGCAAAAATCACAGCAGTTTAGGACCAGATGCATTTCTGTGCAGCCCTACAAATCAAAGACAAAGGCTCAACTAATACTGACTTCACAGATTGCAACAATGTTTTGGCTTGTCTAATTCTGGGGTGAAAAACTTCTCTACATACACACAAATTGGGAATAAACACATATTAAATCTATTTGCTGGCACATTATTCCCCCAGGTATAAATTTAGTTTCCTTTCAAATAAGAATTTACATGAGTAGCTTACCCTCCTGTAGCATGTAGTGGAGTTAATGTCTTGCTTTATAAAAATTAAATAGACATTATAATGGCAAAAGTCGTTTACTATAAAAGAGCCACTAGGCTTTCAGAGACATTATCTCATAGAATCCTCAGTAAAAAACACCTGATATGTTAATACCCTCCTTTTCTTTTTAGATGAGGAAACCAGAGATAAATGAGTTTAAATAGATAGCCAAGTTACAGAGTAATAAATGGCAAAACTAGGAGTTAACATCTATCTTCTAAGTCCAGACTCAGGCAGATATTTCACAAATACTTATGTAATTATAAAATGTTTAGAATTAGATAACTTATAGAATTGGATATAGACCTTTGCTTCATAATTTTAACTTTAAAACAAGACATTTTAAATTAGGATGAATGGTAGTTTTTAGAGAAGAGGTTATGTGATTACTATTTTACTTTTAAATCTATTTTGGTTTATATATAAATTTTAGCCAGAGATTATTTTTGAGCATCACCGGCCAAGAACAAGTTTTGGTACTACATGCCGGTTGAAATGTGTGTGTGTTTTAAAAACTTTCTCAAGTCATTTAAATTATTTCTTCCAAATAAAAGGACAAGTATAAAGGTATTTCTCACAGTAGTTATTAAAAATCTCAGTTGCTATTTCATCACTCTTCCATCACTCTGCTGTTTCATCACTCTTCATCACAATAGATCCACTGTGTTACCCACCAGAAGAGTTACTATCATAAGGATCCAACACTGAATACTTTCACAGGCATTCTAGAATCAGAATGGTGATTACAGCTAGAAAATAAGTCAAGTTCACATTAGAAATCATTTGTAATAGAACTGCAGAATGTTGAATTCATTTAAAATTATGTAATTTGTGTAAAGAATTTTGTCGTCTGCTTAGAAGTTTATCTTTTCATCTAGACTATGAAAACTTCTATTAAAATAGCCACCATGGCCCTCTCACCAACCGCAGGACTGACTCTAAGGCACAAGGTACTGAGGGTGGGGAGAACCACGGATCACAGTCAAAGCCCTTCTCTAGGTGAGCATTGCGAACCAAGAGTGTGATAACTGTATATGTGTCTGAGACAGTTTATCACAAAGGTTCCAGGCTGGGGGCAGTGCCATACTTCCTTATAGCTGTCAGAAGATAGCTCAAGAAATCTGCACCAATCTGCTCTCCTACATACAATAGCACATGTCCTCGTGTCTTGAATCTGCAAAAAATGAAGAACCAAATTCCTTGATTACACAACCAAGTGATTTGACTCTTCCAATTTTGTTGTTCTTTTCTTCTGTCCTGAAAAGGGCCTTGTCAAATCAGAATGAAAAGAATGTTTTGAAGCATGAGAAAATTCAAATTTCCTATTTAAAGCCTGGAGTTCATTAGCAGGAGTATACTTACTTATTTCAAGGGTCACTGGCTTATGGTGAAGAGCCTGTCTTTCTACTACCCAAATCTCGAACTCCACCTGACAACAGTTTAGAAATGCCTTTAAGTCTATTAGCTGTCTACGGAGCCTAATTCATCTTTGTTGTGCTTTGTCTTGTGACCGTGTCAAGTCAAGGACCCTGCTTTGATTATGTGCTATTCCTTTTTTCTTAATCACTTTTCCGTTAAGTAATTGTCTCTGCTTAATTGGTTATAATGATTAAAAGTTTATTTATACTACGCTGCAGTTTTCTTTTATCAGTCACACTAAGGTTCTAAGTATTTTATTATTTACAGCCCAATACAGAAATCTTACCCAAAGAAATAGTGTTTTTAATTGGACTTTTTTTATTAGACTATTTTTATTGTATATGTGCTACAGCTAAAATCTAAATTTAGGCAAATAAGAGAAATTATTAATTCTTAATATTACAGTCATAAAAAGGCATTTTATTTTATAATACTGAGAGGTACAAAGTAATAAGTATAGGCTTCAGAGACTGTAACAGACATAGGTTTGGATTCTGCATTAGGACTTGCCAGTCTTGGGATCTTTCTGAACTTAAACTACCATACCAACCCTATGCAGACTGCCTGAAGATTACTGATGTGTGAGTAAGCACAGTATTTATCTAATGTTAGCTATTATTTGTTTTAGCTTTGACACTAACCAAAGCTATTTAATTTCTCGGTGTCAGGTTCCTCTGATAAATAAAAGGGCAGGACTAGATACTTTCAACATTTTCTGTCAAAACTCAGGAAATTAGTAAATGCTTTTGATTGTTTGTTTGTCCGGTATGTTTTTACTTTAGCCAGTTTTTTCATGTTAAAATTTCCCAGAAAGTAACAAAGGCACTAGTTGGAATTTAGACAGTAATGTGAGAATAAGTAGACAAAAACAAAATGGTCAGTAGGAAATGCTTCAATATTGAATGTCGGGACAAAAATCCAGAGCAAAAGAATCACATTTATATGATAAAACTATAAAACTAGAAATTCGATAATTTGTTCAATAATTTGTTTTAAAAACTTGTATTATAATTTTTTATCGGACTAAATGAGTGATCTTAGAAAAATCACTGGAAAAATTTTATTGACCTGCTTAACCTTAGCTTATTCAATCTGTAACAATGAGTACAGCAACATCTGACACCTATCTAGTTCTGTGAGTTCCCATGGGATAAAAAAGAGAACTAAATAGATTAAATATGATCACCTCTGTACTTGTCAATTATGACTACTTACAATAACTGTGCAATACTTGTTTATCTGCTTTGCAGGGGAAATTTTTTTTTAAATGTCTCATAACCTGTATCTCTCATCAATAGCAGCAAGTTTTATTTTTAAATTTGTTTTTACTTTGAAACAGTTATACTATTTTTCTAAGCATATTTTTCAAAAATAGCTTTATTAAGTCAATCATACTTAATAATTCAAACCATAAAGACAGCAACACAAAATTTGAGACACAGAAACATATACTTTCCCACTTACAAATTGCATCAGAGGATATATAAACACCCTCTCTCTTGTTTCTGAGTAAAGGGTCAAGACACACAGCAGAAAAATTTCAAAACTAAGTGGTTATATAGATCTTTCCTTATTTGAAACCCACGTACTAAATTTGTAGCAAATAACTTTTATGTAAAAATCAGTATTGTACATGGGGCTGAAGATATGGCTAACTAGACTCCCACTAATAATTTTGCTATGATAGAACAACTTATCCTGAAGCACTTATTTTGATAAATAATAACAATAATAAAGTATAATAGCAACATTAATACCTACATTCTGGTGAGCTTTTAATAATAGGCTCTATGACTCAGGACTTTCATATATTATGCCTTACCTGAGAGTGTGCTTCTTGCATTAAATTGAGAATATATGTGCTTCTTGTATTAAAGAATAAAACCCATTTATAACGGTAATTAGCTCAAGAAAACTCAATACTGTCTAAAATGAGAAATCAACCACTTTTTAGACAACTAAAATGTTTAAAACATGACTGACTTTAGAAAGGTGTCCTATTTTACTCTAAGTACTATGACGTTTTGCAAAATTTCTTACTCTAATTTGAAATCCTCACCAAACCGTGAAATTTCTTCAAATGTGGTTTTTACCTATTTCCTCCAAAGCATCCCTGAGGATATTTGCCATCACTCTTGCAACTCATTCTATTCCCTTCCTAACTACAGCAACACAAACCTTGAAACCTGGAAACATATACCTTCTTATTTCCAAATGCATCAGAGGAGATGTAAACTCCCCTTCTCTTGCTTGTGAGCAAGGGGTCAAGACACATGGGAGCAGAAAATTTTCAAAACTAAGTGCTTGTGTAGATCTTTCCTTATCTGAAATTTATATTCTTCTAACAGTACAAAGCCTTGTTTCAGTCAAGAAAAGAATCAACATGTTGGTCACGTTTCCAATTTTATAGTAAGCATAAGAGTCAGTGCTAAGGACAAAATAAAATAATTTATATTATTTCTTTCTTATGCAGATACTTTGCACTTTATTTATATTTGTACTTTTATTGATTATTCTCACATGAATTGGGAAACTGGGACAATTAGGAAATAACAAATAATAAGCTACAGGGAAATTCCTAAACTCTTCTTAAACATACTCCCTCAAAAGAAGGTGTAAGATTAATTTGAACTCTTACATCCTAGGAAAAGGACTAACCTAGCATACCAGAACAAGAGGGAAATGAAATGATCTTGAACTTTTCTTAGAGTACTTATCTTCTTTAGGATTCTCAGAAGAACTCAGGATTCTGTGAAAGTCTGACTACAGAATGACAAGGAAGAAATATTACCTTGTGTGATTATGTTTTCAATACAGATGGCTAGAGAACACCAAAGGTACATTTCAGAAGGGAGAGCTAGGTACCTTAATAACAAGTGACAAAAAAGAAACCAAGCATTGGTTAGAGATGAAGAAAGTGATAGCTGTGTAGCAGCCAGGACATCCTGAGGCTTATTCACCTTAGAAAGTGGCAGAATTTCAACAAAATATTGAAGAAGAAGAAGAATACAAAATGAATCTGTAGTCAAAGGTATAAGAAAATAAAAGGAATTGGACATAGAAGTTCTCCATTTGGTTGTCGATATCGGGAAACACTACCAAAAATGATGAAATTGTATCACTTCAATCCTGAGTGATAGACACATGAATTTTGGGAACAACTACTCCAGAGAGAATCCCACCTTCTACCTAACGGGAAGGAAGTAGGAAGTAATTCCACCACTGAGTAAAAGTTAAAAGTCTCAAAGTTTAACTTTGCTTTTACTGTGGATTTTGGCTTGAAGATCTTAGCATAAAAGCAGCTCTCAATCTCTTTGACAGGCAAAAACTCAACTAAGAGGAACAATGACATACAGAGAGAACTATAAAACTAAATGCAAGGGAAGCTATATCAATTTCAAGTGGCTACATGTTTTGCTGAGGCTCAACTCTGGTTTTGCACAGACTCCTCAGTAGGCCAGGCCTCAGGACCTCAGCATCACCTCCTGCCTCGGCCTGGTTGTTACCCTTTCTTCTGGGAGGCTTCTGCTTCCTAGACCTTGAGAAGGTCTGGCAGACACAGCTTAGGAAACCGCTAAAGCAGAATGGTGGTGATGCCAAGGATGTCACTGCAGGAGAAGAGGGCCTGGGCTCCTGAGCCACTGAGAGGTCATAGGACTGGATCTGACATTCCTGATGCATCACACTGAAACTTTCTTCCTGTAGACTCTGTAATCTGTCCTGTAAGTAAAAGAAAGGGGTTAAAAGCCCTCAAAGCCAATAACCATATGCAAAAAGAACATGACTCTCTGAGCCAATTCTTTTGTTCTTTATGGGACTAATGATCCCAACTGGTTTCTCAAACTCCTTACCCCCAATTCTTCCCACTCCAGGTGAAGAGCTGTCATTATTTTTCCTATGGAAGAGTGATAATCCCAGGATTTTGCTGCCCCATGCATTATCCCTACCTCATGGAGAAGGTCAGGATTATCTTCCTGGGCACTGAGTAGAGTTGGCTTTTTGTCTACAGCCTCATCTTCTTCACTTTGTGCTGGTGTTAAAGGTGAAGGTGTTGGATGAACAGGGGAGCACTGGGCCTCCATTTCCTCCTTCCTCATTCTTTTTGTCCTTGTGTTCTTCTTATGATGTCTATACTTTTTGGGGAGTGGGTCTAGCTTTCTCCTCTGGACTGGAAGCATGGCGGGATCTTGTGAAACCTCAGCCACATGACTCTCAGGTGTCCCCTCCAATGACTCTTTTGATGCTTTTACACTTCTTTTCAGAGGGTCATTTTCCCATGGATGAAATCTCTCTTCTGTATCCTCAACATCTAATAATGTGCTCAAGTCATCGAGAACATGTCTTGGGATAGAGATTGGAGATTCCCTATCTCTGTCACTGATAGATTTTTTTTGACCTACTCTGGTGACCCCAGCCAGCTTTGCAGGAACAAGGAGCTCACAACACAAGGAGCCAAGAGTCAAATGCTGAAGGAAGTAGTTAGTACAGTGACTATTTCAAGTGATGTACCCTTAGCTGTCATAGATTCAAAAGATGTATTGATCTCGGATTTCTCCTCTGGGCTTACTAAAGGAGTTCAATGACCTTCAGAAATAGAGTCCTCAGGTTGTTCTTCTTGGCCTAGGAGGTCTCACATTTTCTAAAAGAGAAAGTCATTGAAGTAATTGCTCCATGAATAATGGAGTTCCTTCTAGTCATATATAACCACAGTTCACAAAAACTCTACCAAGTAGCATAAATTCCTGGGTAGTAATTATACTTAACAACTTATCAGAATGTGTATCAAAATTATCTGGGTGTTTAGTGAAAACACTCATTTCTAGGCTGTAACCCAGACCTACTTAGAATCTCGAAAGTTAGGTGTAGGGAATTTGCATTTTTTCCCTGCTAATTCAGGTGATTTTTATGCATCCTAAAATTTGGAAAACTATTGCTTTAGAAGGACACTGAATCCCGTATTTTACAGGGCCATGAAGATGACTACTAAAAAAAAATAAAATCCTACTTTCTCCTACAAGTATTCCCCTAATCACGTCAGTCCATAATGATATTTCTCCTCTGAAATCTTTTAATCATTATCACTTAATTTGGTATGTTATCCCATATTACTTTCTATTGTAATTTAAGTTTTAAATCTTGTAGCTATTTTTTCTAACCAGATTATAAGTTTCTTCAAAGGGATTTTACCAGGGATGTTCTTAGACTTAGTGTTCCACACTGGTTTGCCAGTATTAGGAGTAGTAAATTGAATGAATAAAAATATGAATAGGTTTATGTCCCAGGATAAAATGATTGACGTGAGATGAGACTGCTCTGTAAGAAGCATTCTAGAGTAACAATGTAAAGAGAACATGACCTGTTGGTGAATCCAATGTCAAAAGTACCCACATGTCAATATGCCACATGTCAGGCACATTGCCTTTGCCTGTATTCTCTGAAAAGCCCATAAAACTATGAGAATTTGCATTTCTAACAAGTTCCTGGTTAATGCTACTGGTCTGGAGAGTGCACTCTGAGAATAGCTGCAAGATGAGGCACACTGACACAAAATAATTAAAAAGGAGGAATTTCTAAGCACTTACAAGGACCAAATGTAAGAGAGGTATAAATTCCAACTTCCAAATTTTGCAAATGGGGAAGATGAGGCTTAAGAAAGATAGTGACTTGACCAAATATGAGGTTGGCAAACTTTTTCTGTAAAGGGTCAAACAGTAAATTTTGGAGGCTCTGTGGGCCATGTGGTACTATCAGAAGTATTTGTTCTCAGTGTTGTAGCAAGAAAGCATACATAAACAATAAGTAAACAAATAGTCATGGCTGTGCTCCAATAAAACTTTATTTTTCCAAACAGATGGTGGTCAAGATTTGGCCTGCATGCTATAGTTCGGCAACGTCTGACCTAAAGTCCTACAACTAGTTAGCCACAAAACTGAGATCGGAAGTCAAGTCACCTAACTCCCAGCAAGTTCTCTTTCTACAAAAGAACAGAAGACTAGAATGAGAAAGAATTTTTTTTCAATGAAAAGAAGGGCTTTAAAGGAAGAGGTCAAAATATGCCTAGGCAAATAATGATCTTATGCACTCTGATTACCCTTAGCCATTTACACAACTAGTTAGCTAAACTCTGAAACTGGACAATTTTCAAACGAATTCATAGATTGACCTCCAAAAGGGTGAGGATGGAGAGTTAGGCTCCATATTTTCTATCACACTTGCCTAGAAAACCATTCTATTTAGTCTCTTTTTAAGCAAGAGAAAATCCTACAGATAGATAATGGAAAATACTTTCTTTGCCCTTCTTTCGAAATTACTGTGACCTGTGAATATGGTTCCACGTTGCAAAGTCCAGGGATAAAAGTTCCAAGTAACTATCAGAGAAATGTGGAAACAGAGATATGATTCCTAGGTTATCTAATAAGCTAAACTTTACTTCCTAAACCAAGATGCTCTTTAATAACAGAGTAGTAAGAGTATTAAAGATTAATGTGCCCAAAGTTGTGAGGGCATTTTTAAATTTTGGGATTTCTGAGAACTGTGAAGTCCATCTCGAACTTTCTGTTCTATATTTACTCCACCTTTAATGTGTTTCTCACTTCATGTCATCATTTTGCCTTCATGTAGTGATGTCAAACAAATATTTGTTGACTTATAAATTGATGGATGAGTGAATGAATATATAGACCAAATGCTTTGAGAAAGTTCTTTGGCTTGTGGCTACAGAGAATAAAGCAGAACTGGCAATTTCTGCCAGAAGATAGTCAGTCCTCTTTTATTACCCTTCAGTGAAACAAACAGTGCCTTCATCTCACAAATGTCAATGAAAGTTTCATGAATGAATTAATACATTTGATGTAGGCCATTTAAGTTATAATTGCCTGTCACAAAAGGTGGTATCAAAAGACAAAACTTATTTACTAATAAATTAACATGGAATTCTTTAATTAATATTTGGGTTTAGTTTAATACTGTTAGGAAAGTTTGGTAAAATCTCTAAGAAGGAAAAAGGCCCACGTAATATGAGAGAATGCTGGCCCACCTTCTATCTGTTCCCTCCATCAAGAGCAACTATAGAGGTAGTAACTAAAAGAGTATCAACCATAGAAGCCCATAGAGAGGTGGGGATAGGACTAAAAAGGAAGTCAGCATGACAAATTCAAGCCTAAAAAAGTCAACCTTGCTTCTCTACCACCTTAGCAATGGCCCTGAGTTAGGCCCACATCATGCTTCAAGTGTACTTTTACAAGGTTCTACTCTGAGTCTGGCCTCTTCTCTCGAATCCACCCTCCATAAAATACCTAGAATGTATCTTCCTAAAAGAAATCTGATCATGCAACTCTTCTGACTAAAGCTCTCCTCCCTATCCCCCAGCAAAGTCACATACAGGTCCTTGATGATCTGATGCATGTCATCTGTCCAACTTCAACTCCACCACTCACCCTAAGGTATCTTATGCTGCTGCAGAAACAGACTGCTTGCCATTTCCTGAGAGTACCATATTTCTTTAAACATTCATCCTTTTACTTGTCACAACCCTGCCCATCTTTACTACCTGGCCTACCTATATTATCACTTCTAAGAAAACTTAGCTGACTTCCTCAGGCAGAAAAAAATTGATTTGTATTCTTGCATAACATTTTTTTTCCCTAAAAATATCATTCAACTGAATTATAATAACCTGTTTAAATATCTATGCCTTCATAAGGCCTGGAGCTCCCTGAGAGCAGGAACTCTCTAATTACTTGATCTCTAGCATCTCCATGGTGCTTGGCACCAGGAGGATATTCAGTGAATGTTTGTGGACTTCAAAATGCAAGTTTTTATAGACTGCCTCCCAGAACCTGGGCTCTAGGTGCCAATCCTCCCCTTTATCTGGGTCTCTTTCTGAGGAGGACGAAGCTGAACAGGTCTGGCTAGGTACTCAGAAAAGAGCTGCTCAAATCCAATTCTATCCTAGAAACATTCTTCCACCCATATTGTTAGAATCATAAAAATAAGGAATGCTACCTAAGGAAGTCCTTTGATTATTCAGACCCCCTGGCTCTCTGCAGACCCACTTCCTTCCTGCTTTACCAGATTTCTCTGTCTTCCTGGTAGACTCTCAGCATGCTACGGCAATCCCTACCTCCCTACCCTAGTCTATGTGGAACATTCCTGAAATCTCAATGATTCCTGGATATCCTTTTTTTAACCCATAATAAGCTATCTCATTTCCAGAGAACACACACCCAACATCTTCTGTTTGGTGTCCCTATCATGAAGAACCTCTTCCCCAAGGACTAAATGTGCTTACATGCAAGGATGCTATTCAAACCACATGGATCTTTTGCCTGACAAGATACAAAAGAGGTTTGTACCACATGAATCTCACAGAGTCTGGAACACATAATTTCCCTGGATTTCACACATGAGAGATAATTGGGTATATAAAACATATGAATTCACATCACAATCTGAGTCCATTTGTCTCCCCAAACCTGTTGCACTCCAACTTTCTTTGTGATTAATTTTTTCCCCATTTTCACATATTACCTTAAGAAAAGCTGAGAAGTTCATAGCCCTTGGATGAATTTACTGCCTAAGCAGACTCAAAGCGAACTTACAAGTCTTAAACAACAAACTCTTGGCCACTGAAGTTTTGTATATTCCTGAAGTAGAGATCAGAGAAAAAATTCACTAATCATTATTGATAATGAAGTGACTTTCCTTTTCTAATGGGAAAGAAATGATTGGCATGAATCAACTTTGCTTCTCAGTGACTCTCTAGAGAATTAAATAACTGAAGCATCAAACAACAATTTTCTTTGAAGATGATCTTTTTCATATTAAATGAAAAGCTGAAGAACTAGTCTCAAAGGAAAAGAAAATGAATAATTTCAGGCCTCCATGTGCAAGCCCAGACCCAGAAAGTCTAAACTCCTGTCTGCATTGACTGATCACCCCCATCCCCTGCCTGCATTCCCCATTATCCCTGATTGCCCAGAGCTTCCAGGGAAATAAGCTTCCCCTCACCCCACTTGCCATCTTAACTGTTATTATGATCATGTGACTACTCCTCACCCCACTCTACCATCTTAACTACTCTTATCCCACCCACCACTGTAACTGAACTTATGGTAATGTATACTCCTTGCCGCTACCCCCACCACTGTAACTGATCTTACTCTGTAACTTTCCACTGTCCACCCCAAACCTATAAAACCAACTCCTATCCCACTGCCCTTTGCTAATGCCCTTTTTTGGCCCTAGCCCATCTGCACCCATGTGAATAAACAGCCATGTTGCTCACACAAAGCCTGTTTGGGGGTCTCTTCATTCAAAATGCACATTTTAAATAAATAATCTACGAGGGATCTATCCACTCCTGAGCATACAGTTAAAAAAAAAGAGAGAGAGAAACTAAAATATGATAGTAAACAACAGAGTTACATTACAAATCAAGTGCCTCTTCCATTTTCGGGGTAACACTGAGAATCTACCATCAATCAGACACTGGAATAGGAGGTCTTCAAGATGGTAACAAAAAAAACTCATCAACATAATTTAAATACTTGTTTTCTACTGTTAACAGATATAGGATCATATGGAGGGCTTTTAAAACACATCACTGGGCTCCATCTCAGTATTTCTGACTCAGT